AGCTTCCCACTGTAAGTTGATGATGGTTAAACGATTTAGTTTGATTCAGATTGACATGAATCATCTATTGATTCGTTGAATTCTACGAGAGTTTTTTCATGATTCAGCTTCTTTTCTTTTGGAATAGTGTGTTCTTCCTGCTGGTGTGGAGTTTCGTTCTTCTGGGTTTGTTTCCAGTGACCCTGCGAGTTTCCCACGGAGCTATCCCATAGTTTTGACGGGTATGTGACTATTCTTAGATCTCATACTTGGATTTTTACTTGCTTTTGCAATGTGGCTGCTCCGTATGCGATATTGTTTCTGTTGCAGCAGGATTATTGTAGCTGAGAACTCGTCTTGCATTCATTTATCTAGTCTTTTTTTCCCCTGCCATGTTGGAATTAAGTTGATTTGCCTGCTTTGACTATGGTGGGTGATCTCTTGCTGATTATCTTAAACATTTTTTTCCCAGAGGGTGATGGAGCGAAAATATTCGTCAGTTGCATTGCATTTCGCGATCGAGTCTCTGAGGATATTGTTGAAGCTTATCGCTTACCACCAAATACATATGCAGACAAGTGTATCTGTATTGTGTCCCATGCCCCCAATTTTCGTGCGCTTCGAAATGCTCTCGAAGAGATTTTTGTTCTTTGTTTCTCATCAGAAGGAAGCTGGTAAACACTAAAAACATCTTTATCGATAAGACAAATATTTTTTATTTACTTTGTGTTGATTTGTCCGCTTGGAAATAGTTGCTTTACGGAACGATGAAAACAACCCCCTTTTTATGTTTGAACTTGATGTTAGTGCCCTTCAACATTTTCAGTAAACCATTGTGGGATATTATCGCCTATATGGTATCTAATGTGCCATTGCCGACTCCCGGAAAAGACAGAGTCTTATTTGCTGTTGAGAATTGCTTGCTCTCGGTGGAAGCACCTCCAGCGGACAGTCTTCCTCAGGCAGATGTATGACTTGTGCTTTTGTCTCCTTAATTTGTTTTGAATACTTTTTCTTAGCCACTTTGTAGTATCAGCTATGGAGGTTTCTGATTTCCTGACAATTACAAGGGCTAGAGGGCCCTGATCTCTTTCATGTTAAGTTATGTAATGTTTGACGTGGTTTTACTGCATGCAGATATCTCTCCAACCTCTTGTACAGTGCTTGGATGTCGACAACTTGATTAAGCTGTTTACATCCGTACTAGTTGAAAGGAGAATTTTGATTCGATCTACCAAGTATGAGTTTAAGTGACATTTTCTAAACATGTTTACCCTTAATATCTTGCATTAACATATTTACTTTTGTTTTGAAACGGTTATATTTTGCATGTTATCTTTGTTTATGCGTCGCACTAATTTTGCTTTCTCATGAATCTCAATAGGTACTCGCTTTTGACTCTGGTGGCAGAATCTATATGTCATTTGATTTATCCTTTCCGATGGCTGGTGCGTCTTACAACACTGACGAGATCTCAGTTTGTCACTTAAAATATATATGAACTCACTTGTAAATTTGCTAACCCAAGAATTACATTGTGAATGAAATCTTGATTATAGATATAAGATGGGAACTAGCGAAGCTATTTGCACTTATACTGACTAAAATATTTCTTCTAATCTTTATTCTTTGTTTTGTTGTATGTCTCTGAAGCAAGTCTATATTCCATTACTATTTTTTAGTGGAGTAGACTACATTGATGCACCAACGCCATATATGATGGGTCTCCACTCAGATGTCGATACATCCAATTTGGCTATGGATGGCGTGAGTCTAATTCTACATCATACTTGACCTCTATAAAATTTAGACAACCTGATATTGGTCTCACAACATTCCTATTTTTAGGTTGTAGTGGTAGATCTCGATTTCAACCAAATCACTACTTCTGAGGAGATACCTTCGATACCAGAGCCTGAGTTCAGCTCTTTGCGAAACGATATCTTGAAGCTACTGCACCCTAATGTTGTGGGGATCGATCACTTGAAGGGGTTTGGCAATTCTGTGGAGCTGTGCCCGAAAAGCCTTAGCAAACCTTGGGGAGAGGATCATGACCTTCAACTCAGGTGACTTTAGGAAACTTTGTCATATGTTTGCCGAAAGTTTATTATCTTGTAGACTTGAACCATTGAAACTTTTTGGTACTCATGTTATCTTGTTTTGTTATTCAAAATCCATTTCCTCTGGCAGGGTTATATTCTTAAAGTTTTTTGCATCTATCTTGGGTGGCTACCGCAATTTCATAGTATGTGGTTTTATCTCTTTACATATATTGTTTATTTCACCCCTTGGCACACCTTTTCTTACTTACACAGATTTTTTTTGTCAGGAAAACAAAGTTTTTAGCACTGATGCGTTTCTGAAGAGACGGTCTCGATCCACCAGTCAGCCACCGGAGCCTATGGTAAGCTTACTGGTTCATGTATGGTTAAGCCATATATTTACATTTTACAGTTACTGAATTTCTGTGTTCATCCAAAACTTTTGAATAATCTAAGTCACGTTTTATCTAATTGTTATTTAAGGGTACTGTTCCATTTGTTTTCAGCTGGTTCAGTTCTTGGGCTCTTTTGCATTCCTCGATTACCTTGAAAGGCGTCTAAGCTCTAATGAGAACAGTACTAATCTCCTCGAGAAGTTACAAGATGCAGTTGGAAGGGGCCAAGATGCGATGTCAATTCTGCCTAAATCTTCTATGGAGCCTGAGATCATCACAATAGCTGAGACAGAAGTTCAAGAATCAGGTACATTTCGTAAGATGGTAGAGCTGAATGATATAAAACTGGGGTTGTTCATTTATAAGAAACTACAAAGTATGAAAATAAATCTTATTGATGGTATTCCATCCTTCATAATCTCATGGGTTTTTGGCTGGCCACCAGTAGTTTGAACAGAGACAAAAATTTGTAAGCTGGTGTAGTATGCATAACAGTAGAAAAACTACTAAGAATCTTTCAGTCTGTTCTATTTCTTCTGCGGAATAATTGTCCGTCTACCAAGTTTGGGATAATTTTCTGATCCATCTCTATCCTTTTTTTCAGCCACCAGGTATACCTATGACAGGTTTCCTGCAAATGTTAGGTCAGAGGAACAAGAAGAAAAGCGAAAGCAGATCCTTGCAGCAGCAAGCGGGGCTCTTGAATCTAATGGAAGGCATCCTCCAAGGTATGTCTTGATATGCTTGAAACAGCGATCTGATTCCTTTACTTATGTTTATTCCTTCCAATTGTAGCTCACCGCAAGGGAAACATACCAAAGAAGACAGTTTCAGTTCAATGGAGAGGGCTGTAAGTGTTCCCTGTAATCTTGTTACTCATATATGGCTTGAAGCAAATCAATATGACATGAATAAGTGCCATGGTCTGACATGTGTGGATAGTGAATCAAACTAAATTCATCAATCGTTACACGAATATGATGAAGATGTCAAATGAAAATTGGTTTCTCTAATTATTATACGAAATTTATAGGATGCTATATCAAGTTCTGCAAAATTGTTTTGGGCTTCATATTTTTCTTGTGTAGAATAAGATTGATAACTCAAATCGAAAATGAAAAAATTCCACAAGACTTCCATTCTAAATGTCATACTATTACTTCTTCTCTTTTTAATGATATTGTAACTACTGTCTGCAGGCAGAGAGAGAACGAATGGTCTTGGATATAAAAGTCAAGTTGCAGGTTTGTGTGTTTAAAAGATCCCAATTTGCAAGTTTCTGAATTGAACTAAATGAGTTGACATCTCCTTCAGAATGTTTTTTTTTCTATTGAGGATATTGTGAGGGTTAAGATCTAACGTGTAAACAATAAATTTTTCACTTTTAAAAAATGAGTTATTTTCTTTAAA